GACAATTGCTTCAAAGAGAAATGCTTTGTCTCTCGAGTAGATTATTTGACAATCACAACTTCAAAAATTTCAAGGGCTATAAGACCAACCACGGAGCAAGTATAAAGTAATAGCTTTTTCCTTTCTTTATCTTAAAGGCAGTGCAATGTGTGCTTTAGCAGACAATTTAGCCGCACAGACCATAGCTAATGTCACTGAAGTATAAAATTCTACAATGTTTTTAGGAGTAGATCAAGCTTAAAATAAAAACTCTAATTATACATCTGCCTAAGAACCCTTTTTATTCCTTCTTACACCAAGCTACTGTAATTCAAAGATGCACCCGCCATTGTGCGCAAAATGGCCATAATATACGCTGCTGCTAAAGGTTGTATAAACAAAGCATAAAGACAGAAATTTGGCTAAGCCATTATTGCTAAATTTCGAGATTATAAGGCAAAAGTGCTTGAAAAAATGTTGAATCAAAATGGGTTAAAAATGACACTTTGTGAAAGTTAAGATCAGGAAATCTCAAGTGGTCGCTTTAGTGCCTCGTTAACCTGAACACCATATGTCGCATTCAGCTTGTGCAAAAACGATAAATGCTCGGTTATGTTGAAGCCGTAGATAGGCTCCTCCTAAAATGAAGATAAATTTATTTGTATATACCAGTAGCTAATTAACAATGGAAATATCCATGTGCAACGAGACAAAGTTGACTAGGTTCTGGAGGAAATAGATCATGTCCAAATAGGTTATATAGTTTCACAAGTCGTGAAACGAGAATTACTGTTAGCAATCAGGGCACGGGTAAACTTCTGGAAATAACAAAAACTAACTCTAAGTAGTATCAGTTGCTGTTGCACTTGCATTGCTCGTCGCAGACAAGGCCCAATATAGCGGAGCAGGGCAACTCCCATGAAGACCTGATATGCGGGTCCATGAAGCATGACGACAAAGAGGTAGTCTAATACGCCAGACCAATCAAGATAATTCCACAGACACTGTGAAAACCAATGATAGATAACCTAAGGCAAATTAGAAAAACAGTAAAGAAAATAACAAAGTAATGTAACTCGATTTTGGGGGAATTTAGTAAAAAAATATCTTTGTGATGACATTTGCTTTGTAATAAAATGCTTGATGATGGGAATGGGAAGTGGTAGGAGAGGATTAGAGTATATTAAAAAACCAAGTTCCGAATAATACCTTGAGATATTGCTATTGGAGTACCATTCATTTTGTTTGAAAAGGCGAGTGGAAAGGATTCGTAAGTCGCCATCACTCGAAGTTATGGGGGGATAGCTTAGGATCAGTTAATGTAGATTACTCTTCCGTTTATCATACGAGGGATATCATGCTTTACGATAATTTACCAAAACACGAAGACAAGAAGGTGACCTGTTTTAAACTTACCTATTTCTCTTAGTCCAATTTGGTCCATTTGATTGAGCATCTCATGTTTTGGTTGGATATTCTATGCTTTGCCTAAATGTTTGCTCAAAAGTTAGGTTAAGTGGCTGCAGATGAAGCGTGAAACGGATTTTCTTGTTACCGAATAGCTGCATTCTTCCTTAAAGCACTTGTTTCTTTGATCCTGCAATGTGACTGCGCTCCATTGCACGTGTGCTGAGCGAATATATTGCTCTTGAAATGAGTGTGATGTGAGAGTCAAAATCAAATTCGAGCCTAATCAAGCTTCCTCCTCTTGTTCGGTGGTACTTATCGTTCCACTTCTCTGTTTCTCTCTAATCCCATCCAAGGGCCACAAGTTGTTATAACTTAACTTCCTATACTAATTCCTGTTCTGGATGTAGGCTGTTCTCCAGCCCACCGTTTGTTGCACAATGATGCAGGAAATCCTTTAGTCTAGCCTTAATGGTTCTTGTAGAGTCCCTATTGATTACCATGTATGTGGCAGTACAATCTAAAGCCTGCATCATTTTTCCTACTTAGTTCAAACTATCCATAACTAACACTGCTCCTCCTTTGTCGCGTTGGGAATATTATTAAATTGTTCGACGAAGTCTTCGACTCACCGTCGTGCGACCCCGATGAAACTGTGCTAAGCTTTTGTCTGTATTCTGACAGACATCATCAGAGAAAGATTCCATACTTTACGAAATAGAGCAAAGTCTAGCAGATGCAAACCATAGGGACCCTGAGATTGGTAAATTGAGGGATATTAATTTCGTATGTAAGTAGAGTTTCGAGACTTCCTGTAAATCAGTAATATGAGATGTACTCACCATATTTCGTTTAGGTATGACAGTTTAAGGAAAGACAATAGAATTTTTCCACAATTATATGAGTAGAGCTGAGGTTTCCATTGAAGTTCACATATCCTTGCTTTCCCAAAAGTTGTTCTCATCCAGTGTGGACTGTAGTTTCGACCTCGCATATGTATCAAGCTCACATTTTGCACTGTCACAGTTCGACTCCCACTGGGGGTTTTGATAAGACCTATGCGAGGTCGAAACTGCAGTCAACCCTGGATGAGAACAACTTTTGGGAAAGCAAGGCTATGTGAAATTC